TAAACTTCTTTCGAGTAAAGATTCATCACCTAAAATAGATAAATTTTTGTCCTTGATTCCTTTACTTCCTGATCTGGCTGGAATTAGTGCTGTTATGTGATGATGAAAACACTTTCCATTGATTTCTTTATTTTTTTCCTTTACATTTTGACATAAAGAGTCCAGGGTCAATAATGTCGACACGACAAAATAAATAATCAACTGTGTCATTTTCATTATGAAAATAATTTTGTCGCTCTATGTAATTTTATTATTATTATTATTATTATTATTATTATTGATCGAAAAAAAAAAAAAAAAATTGCGCATGACGGATCGACGGATCGACGCCACGTTTTAGTAAAACGTCAGTTTTTTTTTTTAAATAATTGAAAAATAATTTTTTTTTTATTATGATTTTAAAAACATTTGAATATTTCTCTTGACTTTTTTTTTTTTTTTTAATAGTTAACTGTTTTTATTTAAATAAAAAAATAAAAAACAAATCCGTAAAATATTTAAATCGTTTTAAAACTAGGAAGAGTTAGTCGAGAGTATTTTTTTTTTTTATTTCGATTAAAAATTTTAAATTTATTTATCGTTTGTTTGTTTGTTTGTTTCTTGTTTATATTTGTTTGTTTCAAACATGACTCATTATAGAAATATAGGGGAAAAAATTAACAGAAGATGTCTTAATAATTATAGTTTTCAAGGCTGTTAAGTCAAAAACACAAACATAAACATAAACACAAACACGATTTCTAAACTTTGTCATAAATTGCCAAAAAAAAAAACAAATCATTCCAATGTCGTTATACAATGAGACATAAAACCTCGCACAATTTAATACTTATTATTATTATTATTATCGCGAGTGCGAGGTTCCATTTTTTTTTTTTAATAAACTATGACACTTTGTTCATTCATCATCGCACGTACATTTTTATCAAAAAAAAAAAAAAAAAAAATTTTCTCACAAAACAACCAAAAAAAAAATTTTTTTTTTTTTTTTCACATAGCGAAAAGTTTCAATTTGCTAAAAAAAAAAAAATTATTATTATTATTATTATTATTATTATTATTAAAGTAAGCAGGTTTTTGCATAAACTTATATTACGCAGCATTATTTTTATACATGTGACGGTTTTTTTGAACAAAAACTTTTTTTTTTTTTATGCCTTTTTTATATTTAAAAAAAAAAAAAATCCCACTCGAATTGCATTTGCCTCGTCAGGTGTATAAAATATTGTTTGTTTTAAATGGCGGTTTTTGGGCGGTTCATTTTTACCTTACTTTATCATTTTTTATCATTCCTCCTCCCTCCATCCCTCCCTATCTCCCTACCTTTTATAATAACGTCGCGAATTTTTAAATTAAATTTTTACAACAAAACAAGAAATAATAATAATAATAATAATTTTTTAGGCAAGGTAAAACATTTTTGTTTAAAATAGTTGGATTCGAAAACTATTTTTTTGTCAAGGTTTTTTCTTAAACGCGTACCTTAATTTAATAAATAATTGATAACGATAAAATGTTGTCAATCAATCAATCAATATTTTTTCTTTTATTCATTACGATCAAATTAAAAAATTTTAACGATTACAACATAGTAAAAAAAATTTTACTTAC